CTTAATTCTAATTAGGTAATAGATCACGATTCCATTTGGATCGAAAATACCCTCAACCCGGATTGCCATAAGCCTAGATGGAAAATTTGCAGAAAGAGCAACTGGAAAAACCGATTGGGAAGTAACCAATGACCGCGAAGAACGGCAGCATCCAAATCTTGTCATCTTCCAAATCGATCTGCTCTGCCGGGTCATTCCCTTCGTGGCGACAGCGAGGATGTTAGAACATATTTTATTTAGTTCAATTTAATTGTATTTATCCTTGTCTATTAGAATTAATTAGTGGGCTTTTTAATTAATTAGGGGCCATTTAATTAGACCCATACCGTGCATTCTTCTTCTTTTTTTTTTACCCCGGAAGGTAAACCACCCATATGGTGGGGCAAATGCCGGGGGACAATTTGCCTATGTTTTATTAATAGAGAATTGAGAACACCAAGAGAGGGGGACCAGACCAAAACCTCTCAACAATAAAAGCATGGCAACTAAAAACAGAAAAACTGGCTGAGGGGGCTATACCTGACCCAACCTAAACCAACACTGCATAAATTAAAACCTGAGGGAAGGGACCCATACCGTGCATTCTATTATAACTAGGATGTTCGGTCATACTCCTATAAATATAAGATGTGTGGACTGAAGCTCTCACAATTAGAATAGTCACATCATTATTAGAAGCTTTCATGTTAGAGAGAGATAAGAGTTCTACATATTCTTATTCCGCATGTATCATTCAAAGTTAGAAAGTTGGAGTTCACACTATTTTCTCTCTCAATTTCATATGTATATCATGTATTCACAGATTTATCATTATGAATATATGGTATTGGTGGTTGTTTGATATTCCATCTTCTACACCTCTGTACATATTATTGTTTAGAGTTAATTGACTGTTGATATGGGAATTCCGAATTCGCAATTAGTGTCGGAGCAAAGGCACAATACTGTTCGTTGTATTTGTGAGAATTTTGTAAGGAACTGGTTTGATTAAAATCATAAGTTTTGGTTGACAAAATACGTATTATTTGTGAATAATTGGAACACATCAAATGGAAATTGATCGGGAAAAAGCATAACTGTGCCAACTAACGATTCATACTCAGGGCCCAAACCACGAAGAATGGACTCTAGTAAATCTTTATCCGAGACAGGGGAATTAACAGCAGCGAGAGCATCAACCAAATTTTTAATATCCCGGAGATAGTGTTCCATTGATTGATTTTCTTTCTTTTTGAGATTAGTTAACTGACGCTTCAATTCCATACAACGGGGTAAACTGGCAGACATGAATCTAGTTTGTAACCTATTCCAGATGCCAAAAGAATGTTTGACATCATGAACATCAACTAAGACATCACGAGTAAGAGTAGCAGACAACCAAGAACCACTACTAGAATATATTGTATTTGCTGCGGTTGTTTCAGCCTATTTGCTGCGGTTTTGAACCGCAACAATTGCGGGAGCAGCAAAAAGTGGAAAAGGTTAACTGCTGCGGTTAGAAACCGCGCAAAAAGTAACATTTTATTATATAAATAATAATTGTTGCTGCGGTTATGGAACAACCGCAGCAAATAATACTAAAACTGATCTAGATTGTGGCAGTTCATGATCAATAGAAGCCAATAATTTACTACGTATACCATAGCTACATATACGTTGTTTTCTATTTACCACTTAAATGAACACTTTTCAACCAAACGAAATAATTTTGTATTTTCCAATACAAGATACTATTGCAGTCCAACAAAATTATTATCCACTACACGTCTACAAGACACTCTCTTAAATGCATCTCCATTCTATACAATTACCAACAACTCACTTATCCAAACCCACTAATTTAAATACCAGTACACGTCCAATACAAAAGATTATTGACAATTAGCAATAACAATTCCATATTTCTTCCTCGTATCCAAAAAGTGCCAGTTAGCCACTAAGCGCTTCATTTGATATCCCCATCTCAACAATCTGATCCCACAATATAGGTATTGAACCACATCCACAGACCTACAAATGACAATTTAATGAGTACAAAAATATCCATATTTGACATTGTCATACATTTAACATGTGATAAAATACACATGCTCTCTAAAGTAGGAACAAAAGACCTCTTAAAACTACCAACAAGTTGATAATGGTTTTGTACTGTGCTTAGAACATTACTGGTCTTTCTAATCTAAAAATAATAAATTCCTAATGGTACTATATTTGGAAAAAATAGTGATAGGACTGTAACCCAATACAATTAAAGTATATAAAGTCTGTTCAATCTTTGTAGCTGTGTCTTATACAATGAAGTAGGTCAAGTAGTACAGCAAAGTGCTCAAGAGGGCCAATGTTCTTTTCCAAATGTTTTAAGAGTTTTCTAGGTATTTACTTCAACGAAAGTGGAATTTAGTTTTCTTGCATACAGATTTACATGCTTCAAGTATTTTAATCATTGAACCTGTTTCCAATTTTTAAAACTTTAGATGATAAATTAGTTCTGTTTATTAATACGTCATCAAATTCGTCCATGATGAGGAAGGACTAGAAAGAGAATACTTCGTAATTCATTAACAAGAAAAAGTTTTTAACAGGGTTCAGTTTCACCTTTGAGACGAAGAAATAGCACAGATCATTGCAAGCTTTGCATCCCGACTCAGGACTCCTGCTAGAAATACATCAGGTTGGAGTAACAGAAATATTATGACAAAATGCAGTCAAAGAGAAAGAAGAAATATTATGACAAAATGCAGTAACATTATCTAGTATCAGTGCTGAATCTAATCTAATTTATTTAGATGTTTTCAAAATTAAATTTTCTTACTAGTATAGTTAAAAATGATTATTTCACTCATACAACTCACAACTCACTAGTAAGCAAAAACACAGGAGGAAAAGATAAAAAAAAAATCATCTTTTTTATAAATTTAACACTGGTAGTAGATCTAATTGAATCGCACAAAACTAATTATTCAGAAAGTCAAGATACGAAAATCATCAAAAAATCTGAGCTGATATATATTGCCACACGAGAAACACTGGATTATGATAATTTCTCAAAATGAATTAATAACTAAAAGTTAATTCCGCTATTTTGTGATTATTAATGATTATCAAGACCTTTGCTTCTCACAGGTTGAATATATACTCACGAGTTTCATATAATACATACACATCAATACTAATTTTATAAATTTATACAGATATACTATTTAACTTTCATAAATTTTATAAATTAAAAAAAAAAACATTAAAATAAACTAACAGAAACGATAAAAGAATTGAGAAATATACCTCTAATAAGTGAAGGGGACGGCGAGTAGGCAGGTGGTGGAGGAGCAGGGGCGACTAAGCAGGAGGCGTGGAGCGGCGGCGAGTAGGCAGGAGGCTGAGGACCGGCGGCGAGTTGACATGATTAAAGGTGAAGCCGCGATTCAGCCTGAAGCGGTGGCGAGTAGGCAGAACGAAAGGCGAAGCAGCGACTTGAGGCGGCGGTGGAAGATTGTTTCTTCCATTGAGTGGAGAGCTTGCGAAAGGTGAAGCAAATTCCTGCTTTCAGTCGGTGGAGCTGTGGCGGCGGTTCGCATCTTTGACAGGAAGAAGCTGGCACCGTCACTTGGGAATAGCCAGTAGGGTTGTATACGAACCGAATCGAGTCGAATAGTGAGATTTTGTATTTGTATTTGTTTAATTTTTTCGAATACGAATCCGAATTCAAATATGAAACGAATATTAATTTTGATTTGTATTTGTATTTGTTTAACAATACGAATATTTAACGAATCATATACGAATATCGAATCGTTTTGAGCATAAGTTAAATATTAGTCAAATATCACTTTAAAGTAATTTTCTTATAAATGCATGCTATGACGTAATATGTGTTTTTAAAATTTAATTTTTAAAAAGTACATTTTTCTTTGAAATTTAATGGATCGATACATTTATAAATTTATATTTATTAATCATAAAATTGATTGACTTTAGTATATTGTGCACAACCTATAAATGTATCGATCCATTATATGATAAACACTAACACACATATTAGAAATTATACTTATAATGTGTGAAACAAGTTGATAATTGTATACTTCATATATCGTAGTCAAACGCCTATAATTTTATTCTTTGAATCGAATACATAATTATTTGTATTCGTACTTGAACCAAAAATCTGATTCGTATTCGTATTTATATTCTATATTTTCAAATTTAAATCATATTTTTTGAATCCAAACCACGAAGGAAATTAAAATTATTTGCTTCATTTACAATCCTTACTCCGTATGATACTTCTGATTTATTACAAATGCGCTTGAAATTTGTATACATAAACGTATATATGGACTACCCTTTGAGTGTATAGCTATCTTTTAAAAGTTATTATAGTGTTATTACTATTATTATTAATATTATTATAATAATATCACTATTATTAATCGAATATATTTGATTAATATTCGAATCGAATACACTGATATTCTTATTTGTATTTGATAACAATTCGAATCAAATTTAGTATTCTTATTTGTATTTGTATTTGAATTTTTCGAATTCGAATAGTGTTATACGAATTCGAATCGCGAATCGAGCAAAAAATATTTGATTCGTTTACAACCCTAGGTGCAATGAATAGGAGGCTGCGAGGGGAGGGAATAGGGATCTGGAATTTAGGTCTAGTACATAAGATAAGTTATACGTAGTACCAAGAATGTTGAGTAGGTGAGCATAAATAGGGCTGGGACTTTGGAACCAAGAACCGGAGAACCGAACCGGACCGAACCGTTATGACCCGGTTCGGTTCGGTTCCAACATTTATTAGTTATTTTTTAACGGTTCGGTTCCTATTTTTTATTAATGGTTCGATTCTCGGTTCCTGAAAAAAATATGTACTAGGAACCGTTAAGGAACCGTTATATATAATAATTAAAATTATAGGGTGCGGTTCCAGTGAGAACGATGCTTAACGTGAGAACGTGAGAACACTCACAATTAACCCAGCGTGATACACAATTGAGCCCGTCAGGTGCACATTTGGGTTTAGCTCAAAATAAGCCTATATAAATAATGACGGTGGCATTTTAGTAAATACTGTGCCGAACGCGAAAATGTGCATTGGGCGAGCCTCATTGTGCATCACATTTGGGTAAATGTGGTGTTCTCACGTTCTCACGTTAAGGGTTGTTCTCATTTGATCCTAAATCTAAAATTATATATATTTCTTATGAGTGTATATATATATATATATTTTTATGTATATTTACTTACTTATTTTTATATTACATTCATTATTTTAGTTTAGTTATTCAACTATTTAAAACTATTATTCACTTCAACCGGTTCTCTTAGGCTTCTTAGGCCTCTCATTAGGTCAGAACTTCAGCGGGTCGGCACTTTGAAGGTCCAAAGTATTTAAAATTATTATTTTATTTAACTGTTTAAGCATATTTGTATCGTAACTAGTATTATACCCGTGCGATGCACGGGACAATATATTTGAATAATACGAATTATACATATTTTCCCACGCACATGAGAGTTTAATTATAAGAACTTTAAACATACGAAGTAAATGATAGCAAAAAAAATAATATTTCAAGGTGGTAATCTGAAAACATACTCCTTCCGTCCCCCAATTAAGTTCTCACTTTCCTTTTTGGGCAGTCCCTAAATTAACTTCGCACTTCAATACTTTTCTTATTTGGCAAATAATCTACATCAAAACAGTGTCAAACAGTGTCCAAACAGTGTCAACTGTGTTTAAACAGTGCAAAACAGTGCACTCCAGAATAAAGTCAAATTTATTTTCTTAATATGTGTGAAGTCAAACCAGGAACTTAATTAGGGGACGGAAGGAGTATCTATTCTTTCGTGTCAAAAGTAATTCTCCATACATTATAATACAATACTTTTGAAGACCAATAACCAAATAAAATCATTTCTCATTTTCGATACTATTGAACTTACACTTAACTTGAATTTAGCATACCAACATCACAACAATTCGTTTTTAGTCGCATACTTTGGAGATCAGCTTCGTTCTCATCAATTGTCGTACAGCCTCGTTGCCCCGGATCATCAACCAATAAATGATTCAGTGGTTCCTAGAAGATACCACTTACTCGGGTATATGTCCACCTTTATATGTCCACCTTTATATTATACTCCGTACAAAGTATGCAGAGATATACCTTGTACAGAGCAATGCCAATTTGATAATACGATAATTTAAATTACTCCAAATTTAATCAATTATTTATAAACGATTTACAAAACAGCCTTTTAATATTGAAATTCAAGGCAGCAAATTAAAGTTCGAGGCAATGGATATTCCAGATTCCATTTTCAAATATACATAGTTATATACAGAGTATATTGAACTAATTTTAATTTTAAGAAATTAAATTTAGCCACAAAATTTGATTATTTAGTCTATCAAAATTTGATTCTAAACCCTCAATCATGATCTCGGATCCCTCAACTAAGCCTAGTACATGGCGTTTTATGGCCATCTTCCGCCATGATGCTCCTTTCTCTATAATGCCGCACAAAGCTCAACCCTAACATCAAACTTTCTATGACTCGTATTAAGTAAACGTGTTTCTGCATTTTCAAAATTGATGTAACTCTAGTAATCAAAATTTAAATTCAACTTCATGAATTGAATCTTGAAAGACAGAAACAATTAAAAGTTTTACAAATTTTAAAACACTTGCTTCTATATAAGGAGTAACACATACGTTACCCTTGTATGAATGTATGTCTACCATCCTTTTATCAAGAAGTTCATAGAACATCCTTTATCATCTTGAAAATAACTTGATAAATACGTAGTACAGACCAAAGAGTATTAAGTTACGTTACAACTATCCTTCCACGTGTGCCCACCTAAGTAGCACCGGGACGGAAACGGAAACGGAAACGGGGACGGAAACGGGGACGGGGAAACTCTAAACTCAAAATATCAAGATACGGGTACGGCAAGGAAACGTCAAACTAAAAATTAAAATTTTACTAGTATAAGTAATGTTTACGTCCAACAACTATGAAATAAGTAAACAAAACATTCTCTTTATTATAATGCATCATACATGCATAATAAATAAAATGAAAAAGTAAATGTTTCATTCCGTGATAAACACTCTCCAATGATAAATTAACAAGTGCAAATTTGTGTAACACACTCAAATTACCAGTAACATCAGTATGTTCCATATTTAATGACAATAGGAAGCACTTACCACAAATTAAAGAATCTAAAATTTTGAAACTTCCCCAAATAGGCTAATACGGCACTACCCAGACCCACTTTAACCCACGCGTCCAGCGAAGTAGAGCAGCAGGCAGCAGCAGGCCAGCAGATGGCTTTCACCGGTCACCAACTTCAGCAGTTCAGCATTAGGTTTCCCGTCGTCACCAGCGTTGCTTCAGTATTCAAGCCCTTAATTGCCGTCGAGTGATGCTAGAGTCGCAGACTACAAGCGAGCGTCGCAGGTTAGTTTTAATTTAAAAAAAAACGCGAATTGCCCAGCTCCAAATTGACCGACCTTGTTTTTGAGAAAAATAACCAGAAACGCCGTGGCCCAATTGAATTCCCGTTTCCGATACGTTTCCCCAAGCCGGCCCAAAAGCCCAAGTCATCAGAAACGTTTCTCCGCGTTTCCCTGCCGTTTCCCGGCGTTTCCTGGCGTTTCGCGTTTCCGAAACGTTTCCGGGACGGAAACTTGAGGGAGTTTGACGTTTCCGTGCATCCTAGGTGCCCACTTTGTATGAAAACACCGCTATATATCCTAGTAAAAAACATACGAAGTTGAACATGTATAAAAATAAAAAATATTTTTATAAATGAGTTCACTACATCAAATACTTTGACTTGTTAGGCAACAATCGAAATGGCGTCCTGAAGTTGCCAATTAAAAATTTGTTATTGCAAAAATACTTGAATATAAGAAAATAAAATAAAAAAAGTTTTGTATGAGTTCTTCCAAAAAAAAGTTTGGTATGAGTAGCCACCGTAGAGAACTCAGATCATCAAAAGAGAACTGGAAACATCTTATAATGCAAATCTGGGGGGATGAACAGAACCGTAAACCGGTTGAACTAATTCCCTAGGCACGGCTAGCTAGCTGTGCTCTCTCTTAAATGTTTGGTTTCTGGAGAAAAAGGTACGCATTAATGTGACCATGCAAACTAACTCCTGCATTCAGATCACATCACCAAAGATTATAGTAAATCGTACTCATAATAGTAATGTAGCGAAAAATGAATAAAAGAAAACGTAGTTTGACCTTCACTTTTCACATTTTCTCAAGATACTCCTGGTTTAATGGGTTGGCGCCTCACGAACATATATATAGCAGGATTGTGGGCATGGGAGTCGGCTAAGGAAGCTGACCATATATATACCCAATACATGCTTATTGGGAAATTTAAAAGGCACCTGGAATTTGAAATGAAGCTCGTTTCTACACATTGGAGATTCCAACCATTCATATTCAATGTGTTGTTTCTTTTCTTTTTCCCTTTTTAAATCTGCGTGTGCTTTCAATAGCTAGGTTGCTAGGGACAAAACATGCATGATGCATGCATTGAGATGACACCGACTTCAAAATAAATTTAAATGTTGAACTCAATATGCAATGCACGTTTTTCTTAAAACACCCCGGCCCACTCCTATTAATGTTGAACTCATTATGCACATTTTTTTGGAAGACCAAAAGACACCTCAAATATCCCAAAAACAACTCATTTAATGACACGTTTTTTCCTAAAACACTTTAGGAATCGTTGGCAGCACCTATTTGAAGTTGAACACACCTTCCCGCCCAAATTCCCTCCCAACTTTCCCCCACACTTTTCTGTTTTACTATATAATTTACTATATAATATAGATATAGATATAGATTTCAAACGTAAACTGTCTTTTTGGCAAAAATTTAGTCATGATTTGTAAGAATTTTTTCGAAGACTAGGAACCGTTAAATGACAAGAACCGAACCGTTAAGAACGGTTCGGTTCCTTATCGGTTCTATAAAATAATTTATAAGAACTGAACCGTTAGTAAAATTTCATATTTTCAAACGGTTCCACATATTTGGCCTAGGAACCGAACCGGTCCCAGGCCTAAGCATAAATAAGATTTTTAGTCAGAATTGTTGCGGTTGAGTTATCACCGCATCAAATAATGCGTCTATCCAACACAATTGTTGCGGTTCCTAAAATTACGCTGCAAATAACTAATTTTTGTGGAACAATTGCTACGGTTAATGTATAACCGCCGCAAATACATTAAAATTTTTACTTAATTGCTGGGGTTGTAAAAGAACCGCAGCAAATAAGCAGCAGCAAATGTTGAAAATTCTGGTAGTGAACGAATAGTTTGATCTACCCTTAACCAATGATAGTACTCAGTATTAGGCACCTGACGATTATTAAAATCCACAGTGTAGATAGGAGGAACAAGAATAGATCCATCAAGCATGCCAAGTAAACCTTGAGAAACTATAAACGACTCAAATTGAGTGCGCCAAGTTAAATAATCTTCCACAGCCTTTAATTTAATGGTCACAATTTGGCCAACATTAGAGATATGAGTAAGAGACTGTACCAACGAGGCCATAGGACTGCCAAAAATTGGAGAATCAGGTGGACGAACAATACCCGGCGAACCGCTGAATGTTGGTCCAAAGAAATTGGAACCCTGAGTCTGCGATGCAGGGAATAGGGACGCAGGTGGCTCGGTGCGTGCTATCTGCCAGGGAAAAGTCGGCGCCAGAGTCTGGAAAAGTGGCGTCACATCGGGAGAGGACCACAGTCCGGCAGATGCGCTGGGTGAAGAGAATCCGACCGGCTGCGACGCAAAGACAGCTGCGGCGCCGGAGGATGATTCTGCAGCAGAGAGAGGCATGCTGACCATAATGGAAGAGGAGAAGGAAGTTGTCGCGGCCGGCGTATAAGAGGTTGCGGCTGGCGTATAAGAGGTTGCGGCCAGCGTAGAAGGAATCGCAGCAGAAGAAACCTCAGTAGAGGTTGCGGGAGTAGTCATCGCAGAAGAGGAGTAGCGATGAAAAAGAATAAGTTTTTTAGAAAAAAAAAGTTAGCTCTTGATACCATGTGAATAATTGGAACAGGTTACCCTAAAGAGGGTCCTGACAGGTCTATATATAATAAAGAGGTTTCCAAAATACAATATAATTCCTAATTTGAGATAAACTATTATTATTGTGGTTGCTGCTATGATAAAGAGAGAAGATCACGGAGGAAAATACTTAGTTGCTCGAGATACATTATTTCGCATACCCGGAATACCTGATTTCGATACTAACAGAACAATTCAAGCATCAGCGTTCGGTCAAAAGAAAATTGTGGAGCCATCCCGAGATCATTTTATTGCTGACCGAGATTATCTTTTCGCTAACCCGAAATTAAGTTTTCAAACCTTCTATGAGATCTTTAGACTTCGTGCCAACGCCGAAATCACCAGATCTCAAGCCTCCGTATTTTTGTCACCAGAGTTTTGGAATTTGAACCTGAACCTGAGATTTGGATTTCAAACTCGCACCCTGATTGGAATTGTGAGATCTCGGGCCCCTCCCATCAGAGAAAGGAACTTGGGCCTCCCTTCATATCTCAATCATCATAATCTCGGGCCTCCCTTCATATCTCAATCATCAGAATCTCATGCCTCTTACCCGTGATCATAATCCATCTTGAGCCCCTTTATATTTTAACAGTACGCATCAAAGATCATCAACAGTCAGCTTTTACATTTTTGCATGTCTTCACTGTTTTGACCATAACTTTTGGCTCGGTGTTCCGATTTACGCAAATAAGACATTTTCGGAAACACGGGAGAAGAGATCTACAAGATTTCCCGGGGTACCTCAGAACCCAATCTCACACGCCCTCAGTGTCCCTTTTTGAAGAAGATATCATCCGTTTTCTGAAAAACATTGTCAATCACCGGTAAAAATCAAAATAGAGGGAAATTTGGTCAATTGTTCCAAAAGTCAAAGCTAGTCAAAACTATAATCTAAAGGATCTGTACCCGAAAATCATCAATGGGTTCCTACTCCAAATCATCAGTGCTCTCAAATAACGGATCAACCACATTATCTGATGAGTTCGAGGTAAGTACTTCTAGTTCTAATTACAATGAACAAATAGCCTCCTTAGTTAAAGAAAGAGAGGAGCAAAATAAAGGAACTTGAAGATAAACTTGCTAATAATCAGAATGCTCTGGAAGCACGTTTATTAAAAGAAGGTATTCTTAATCAGTTAATCTGCACTTAACAAACTCACAAGATAAAGTCACTAGCTTAGAATCAGAAGTTCCTAAACTTAAGAAAACTGTCTGTGACTTAACTAAGGAACTAGAAGATTCTAAGTGAAAATGTTCTGAAGTTGTTATCTACTTTGAAGAAATTCATAAGGAATGTAGTCGTATGTACACTAAATATTTCTTAAGTTTCCTAAACTTAAGAAATTGTCAAGAGAGGACAATCTGAATAAAAAGTTTTTCTTCTGAAAATCAAATTGTGTCTATAGAGAAAGAACCATCTATTTCTGAAAACTCATCACCTTACATTCCAGAGATCATTAAGAAAATTGTTGATCTTCACACATCTCTGGAAACTGAAAGAAATGTTTTCAAAATAGTAAAGGAAAAGCGTTTAAATGAAATTTCTTCTCTCAAATCCAGCCTCACAACAGACATAACTTCTACCACCTCTTTTGTTTCTAAAGGCAATCTTTCAAAACCTCTTTCCCAACATGCTTCTAAAGAAAACGACTCATCCTCTTCCTCTCATTTTAAAAAAACCGGAAGGTAATATTCTTTATAAACGCCAAGAGAAGAGGATGGTCTGGATTTTTAAACAAACTCAAAAGGAGGCTGCAAGACTTAAACTCAAAAGGGCCAGTATGGTTGGGGGATTTCAGAGAGGAGGGAAGGGGAGGAGTCATATTTAAATTCAAAATATTTTTTTCATTTTAAAAATTTCAAATAAAGTAAAGACAAAATAGTATATAAAAATACATGGTTTAACTAATTTTATAGTTATTTGAAGTTTAAAACTAAAACATTCAGATAAATTAACAAAATAAAAAATCAATCCTCTCCTTCCATCCCCTCCGAAATCCCCCAACCAAACTGGGGGAAAATGTTCTCTGAAAAATCAAAATCTTTTTACACTAAGTCTTGTAGTAATTCCAAGGATACCCGTTCATGTTCTGAAAGTCAGTCACCCTAGTTCTAACACAGACAATTTTTCTATGTCTCCTTTAGATGATTCTACTCATGAGAAATCCAATTCTAGTGTTTCTGTAAGTGTAACTGGGCAAACTAATACTTTAAAACATCATTGTGATGTGAGTGATGAGAATTCTAAACAGAAGAGATTTAAAGCTTCTACCTATGATGTTTGTGATGATGTTAATCTGAAATATTCCATCAAGGTTTATTCAGTTAAACATTTGAAACGTCTATCAAGGAAGAAAATCTTTATAATTACTTCTCAAACTTCTATCCCATCATTCACATTCGCTGAAACAATTATTGTTCAAAAATGGTTTCTTAAATCAGAATTTCAGTCATATAGCTCTCCGAAAGCTTCTAAAGAGATTGGTTTAGGACCAAAAATAAAACAAAGATTTTAAAATTTGTGTTATGCTAGAAAGGACGGACCCATCCTTAATTGGGTACCAAAGATTTCTTAATCTTTTGCACGTGTCCCTCATGTGTGGTACCTAATATATTTGCTCCACACATGGAAAATCGAGATGCTGAGCAACCATTTTATTGGCTTCTGAGTAAAACAGCTCAGAACCGCACTACAACATGGATACTCAGTAAAATAGATTAGAACTCACACTAGAACATGGCTTCTAGATACATCAATCCAGAATCCAGTATCACAGAATGGATTCTTGAAACATCAGTATGTATCACACAAACACAGGATGTATCAGACGTCAAGGGGGAGTAACCGTGCATATTCTGTGGGGGAGTGTTTCCTTTTCACTCCTTCTAATGCCATACAACGAAGAAAACAAATTCCAAGGGGGAGCTTCCTGCTTTACTCCCCAAGTGACGTACAACAATACTTTCACATTCTGAGGAGGAACATCTCTATTTCCTCCTAGCGCCATGCAATGCATACATAAAACAAGGATACTCTCAAGGATGCAAATTTTGAGGGGGGGAGGGGGTTCTATTTTCTCCTCCCCGGTGACAAACAATGACAAAGTTTACTGAGTGCTCCAATTGAGAGGGAGCACTGAGAGAAAAGAGAGCAAAGAACCAATGAGAGATAAGTCCTGATGGCACAGTAAAACCCAACTATGCCTATCCGAGGGACAAAGTCGAGAGCAAGTGAGTGACTAAGTGAACACTATGAGAGTGTGGAAGCCGAATGCTCAAGTGAGCAAGAAGTCAATACTCACAAACAAGTCTGCTACCTCACCATGCTATCAATTGAGAGAATTACTCATATCCAATCAAAAACTACGGACAATTCTCCATAAGTACATGACTGAATTTATACAAATCTCGGGTAGAAGTCGTTGCATCTTGTCCAACAACGCATGCACGACCCTACCCTAGACGACTCATCTATTTCCCAACAGACAGGTGTTTAATAAAATCTCATGGGGAACCTCGTCATTTATCATCGTCTCCTTCTGAGGCGACTGATACTGACTACAGTGGCCCACAACCCCGCGCCACTGAACTTTCTTTGATCACGTCGTGTCTAGTTATCACACTCCCAAATGTTTTGAACTTTCTTATGACACAGGCACATTTTAGAGTAAGTCGCAGGTTCAAGTGATCAGGCGAGAACTTCCATAGGCGCGTCTACTATATATAGATGTTGACCAAGGATTGGAAGGAAGTCTTAATATTGCAACATAGAAATCACCAACATGTTCAGGCCATTACTTAAGAGTTCATCTCTATAGTGATGATAACGGGTGTCTATGTGACCCTGGGGGGCTACAACTTTTCATTGTTGCTCCTTGTGAACATGCCAGAAAGACCAGAGTGACATCTATGATGGATGTCGAACGATGATTGATGTGAGTTTTCTTGCACTTAAAAAGATTGTAGAATAGTGGTGAAAAGTACGAGTATCGTCTCTGCAGGGACGGACAAAAGGGAAATAAGAATTAACTAAACTCAGTGATTAAAAAGAAAGAAATAAAATAAATGCAATGTGCGAGATTGGTTGGTTGAAAATTAAACTAATGTGAATGAGCGATTAAATAAAAAGATTGGTTTCTTTATAATTAACGACGAAAGGAACAGGGATTGATTCCGGGGTAACCAGATGTCTAGCTGATCAGGCTTAATTACATGAAAATAACTTAATTGAGCCTAGCTAATCATTACTAAGTTCTTACCGCTCTCGCGGCGTAGAGTACAATAATTTAGGAGACCAGGCTGATCTCTCATGCGACAGGATCCTAAATTATTGCCAAAACGAGCGAGCTTACGGCCCCTTAATCGTTACTAATCTCTTAGCGAACGATTAAGTGTGTGTGAATGTGTCCTAGAACAAATTAGATCTCTCTTAATTCATTCTAAATGCAATTGTAATTCTAGCTGCAGTCTAGGTTATAAGAGATATCAGTTAAACTATTCACACACAAATTAAACGCCATTCATTCAATTAAACCATCAAGAATCTAGCCATACATCATGATAAACCCCTTCATCAACCCCAAATCCCTAATTAAACTACTCACAATTCATAATTGAAGAATCAATAGAATTGGGATGAATAGAAATAATTGTCATTAATTAAAAAGATAGAACTTACAAACAATCCCTTAATCTTGAAGAACAATGCTTGAAAAGCTCTCAAAAGTCGAAATAGGGTTTATCTCTCTATGCTCCTGCTCAAAATAGACAAATTGGGGGCCAATTTATAAGAAAAAGTCGAAAATCAGCTAAATCGCACGACCGCATGGTCACCCGCACGTCGTGCGGCGTACAGCGCGGCCGCGCGTAAAAAATGTGCGCTTCGGAAATTTACTCTGCCCGCACTATGTGTGGATCCCGCGCTATACAATAGTGCGGGTACTTCTGGGGACTATTTCTGGACCG